CTCTAGTGTACACTGATTTGGTGGCCAGACCCTAGGGTCACACCTATGTTCACATCTAGTATGTTTCCTTCCATTGAGTCGAGGTAAGACCTATGACTTGTAATACATCAAAGGACATGTTACTTTCATGATTACATGCTCTTGCCAATACATATTAAGAGATTCTCTTAGCTAGCTTGATGAAGTTAAAAGCTAGGCTGAGGAAGCTCAAGGGGGAAAAAACTGTTGACCACCCCTAGAGATGGCCTGTAAGGTCCAAAGATGGCCTGTAGTCTACAGTCAGCAAAAATGCTGGAGCCCATAGTCACTAGCTACAGGGAAATATTCTTTGCCAAAACCTTAGTTTAGAAGTGAACTGTTCACCATCTGGGCCTGCAGGTAAATCCACAGCCTGGTTAATGCTTTAACTGCAGCCTTGTGGAATCCTAAGCAGTGTCCATTGTAAAATTGTGCTTGAATTGATGACCCATAGAAATTGTGAGATAGTATGTTATAAGCCACTAAGTTTGTGGCACTTTGTTATGCAGTGAAGGAAAGTTATTACAAGTGGGTATAGATTGAGTAACATGCACACACATACATATAATATATAATCTGAAAAAACAACACAAAACAGATGACGAACTCCTTGAACTCCAAAATATGTAATTGTTGTTGTTAAGTGTCATGGAGTCAGTTCTGACTCACAGTAACCTTGTATAGGGTTTCCAAGGAGTGGCTGGTGAGTCTGAACCACCGATTATGCAGTTCAGATGACCTTGTTAGTTGCCATCAAACTGATTCTGACTTATGTGGACCCCATGTTTAATATATGATTACAAACTATAATGGAGGGTATGTAGAGACCAGTAATACAGAATAATGAGGATCTGAGAGCCAAGTAAGGCCTTTCTAAGGAGACAATATGTAAGTTCAGATCTAAAGGATGAGAGAGTCAACCACTCTGAAGTAGGAGATAGAACATTCTATGTGGAAGACTGTTGTAGGAAAGAGCTTGTCTTGTTTGAGGAATGGTATGGTGTGGCGCTGTAGGATCAGCACTAGACTACTAAGCACAAGGTTGGCAGTTCAAACCCACGAGCTGCTCCTCGGAAACCCTATACCCTATAAGTTGGAACTGACTTGATGGAATTGAACAACAATGGAGTCAAATGTGGCTGGAATTTAATAGACAAGGGGGAAAGTAAATAATAAGACTGGTGGTGGTAGTGTGTCGTGGAGTCAGTTCTGACTCATAGCAACCCTGTATAGGGTTTCCAAGGTTGTAAGTCTTTAACGGGAGCAGAAAGTCTCATCTTTCTTCCATAGATCCACTGATAGTTTCGAACTGCTGACCTTGAGGTTAGCAGCCTTACTCATAACCACCATGCAACCAGAGCTCCTTAAAGAAGAGTGGAGAACTAGGAAAAGACTATCTCATATGTGGGAAGACATTTGAATATTAAGTACAGTGAGGCAACATGATTGGATACAAAAAAATAAAACATATAGTTGCTATTAGTTGTGGCTATGGGGATAAAACAAGGATGTATTAGAGCTGTATTTGGGAGGTTTCACCAATAGACTTTATTGATGGCTTGAATGGAGATTTTGAGGGGAAGAAAGGTATCATAAATGATATCGATTTCTGATACTAGTAATTGAATGAATGTAGTGTCATTTACTAAACAGGAGGGCAGACTAGAACTGTACCATAGGGTTTCTAAAATTGCAGATCTTAATGGAACAGACAGCCTCATCTTTCTTCCACAAAGTGGCTGGTAGGTTTTAACAACTGACATTGTGGTTAGCAACCCAATACACCAGCAGGGCTCCTTAAATAGGTATGAGGGAAGAAAATAGGTGCTATGGGGTCTTGGTGTAGCACTGTAGGATAATCAATTGACTGTTAATGCAAGATTGATACTTCAAACCCACCAGTTTCTCCTCAGAAACTCTTTATTGGGTCAGTATGAGTTAGAACTGACTTGATAACATTTCACAACATTGTTGTTGTTGTTAAGTACTGTGGGGTCGGTTCTGACTCATAGTGACCCTGCATAGGATTTCCGAGGCTATAAATCTTTACAGGAGCAGAACACTTCATCTTTCTCCTGCGGAACTGCTGGTAGTTTCAAACTGCTGACCTTAAGATTAGCAGCCCGATATGTAACCACTACACTACCAGAGCTCCTTATTTAACAACATTACAGAAAAAGGATATTGTGGTGATGAGGTGAACAGAATATTAAAAGTTCAGTTTTATGCATGCTGAGATTTGATTTTATGGGGATGTCAAGTAGATAGTTCTACATACTTGAATTTGGAGCTCAGTGGAGAATTTTTACACACAGATTCACCAAATATGCCAGGGAAAGTAAAAAAGTATTGCTCCGAAAGCATAGAAACCTTTATTAAACAAAAATATCAAAATGTGAAACTACTGTTTCCTAACATAGCTTCCATCTATGTCAATGCCCTGCTAAAGGCAGTGTTTCCTTGGATAACCCTTTCCCTGAATAATTCTGCACTCTTTGATTTACATCAAAATGGCAGTTTGGGCATTCTCAAGGGTCTCAAATTGTGTTCCTTTGGAATGTTCTTTGAGTTTGGGGAACAAAAAACAAAGTCTAAACGGGAAAGAACAAGGCTGTAGGATACATGGGTAAGGTGTTCCCAAAGAAATTCTCTTAGTTTAGTCCTTGCTAACCTCAAAGAAGGTATATTGTGCTGGACAAAAACATTGTTTGGTGCAACCTTCCTGGCCTTTACTACCAATTTTACTCACCTTTACTCACCAGGTTTCCATTTGCTTAAGACTTCTTCATAATAAGATGCCCTGATCAATCTATGTCCTTCAAGAAAATATGCCCAGATTACCCATTTGGAATCCCAAAACACAGTTGCCCCTCTGTCTTGAATTTAACTGGCCTAGCAGATTCCCTCAGAAACTACTCTTTGGATCAAACCTGTTGTTTTTTGAAGGCACCCTAATGAGACTAAGAAGTATATTATGAGAGAACTTGTCTCTAGTCATTTACTGATCGCAGACATATGTTTAAACATGTTTTGCTTGGAATAAGCCATGCATGTTTGAACTGGATCCTAATAGTAATATTTTTCTACTTAGTTGAAAACAACTACTCCTGAGTAGCTCCAGGAATATGGCAGCCTGAGTCATTTAGATCCACCCTGTTACCGAAAACCATTTAAAATGCTAGCTAATTAAAAAAAAAAAAAAAAAAATCTTAAAAGGATCAAACCCAAAAGTTACCAGGCAAAAATCTAAGGGAAAGCAGGAAACCAGAAAGGTAAAGGAAGTCCTGTAGTTGTTTTCTGTGAGCATTTATCCATGTGAGGGAACTTGAACTTTGGTTTGCCATGGAGCCACAGTCAAAGAGCCCACCCAGGATGTAAATCAAGGTACCAAAGATATCCAGCTGTGAAAAACATGTGCACTAAACAGAAACAATCTGCATTTTTATCTGTGTAAGAAATCTGCATTCTCAACTATTACAAGGAAGAATATTTTGATGTTGAGTAGGCAAAATGAAAAACAAAAACCATCCTTGAGAACTTGAAGCTATCTTTTTTTGGGGGGGTGGTGGTTCACAAAGACTAAAGTGTAAGAAAAAAAAAACATACATTCTCTTGGAGAAAGTCCTTAAAGTATTTCCTCAAATAATTTTATTTTCAATTACAATGATCATTGACAGTGAGACTTTTGAATAATAAGAATATTCAAAGTCTGAGTTACAGATGTCTAAGAATCCTTATAATCAGGGCTCATGATAGGAGGGACCAGTCCCTGGAAAAGGACATCATGTTTGGTATAGGGTCAGTGAAAAAGAGGAAAACCTCCAATGAGATGGACTGATGTGGCTGCAATAATGGCCTCAAATATAATGATTGTGAGGATGGTACAGGACTACACATTGTTTTGTTTTGTTTTGTTGTGCACAGGATTGTTGATGGTACCTAACACCAAGTAATTAATGGAGCCAGCAGAAAGAAATCAGGGAGGTTAAAAAAAAGATTTAAACAACGTAATAAACTTAACTTCACCCAGCAACATTTGTTTCAAGCACAAAGGATTATTGAGAACATTTAAAAATTAACACATTCTGGACCATAAAGCAAGTCTCAGTAAATTTTGAAGGATTAAAATCACACAGAACATGTTCTCTGATCATAATGCAATAATTATAGCAGTCAATAATAAAATGGTAACTAGAGCTGTAGAGTTGAGGAGCTTAGCGTATGAGCCAGAGACTCAAAGATAAACACCTGACGTTCTTATTAATGGCACAACTTGGAATTAAATCTGAGTCTCTAATATTCATTTAGTGGAATGATACTATGGAAACTTTTTTCTGCCCATAATATTTCCTTCTGCATTGAAAATCCAAAGAAATAAATACTAAAAAGGCCTTTTATTAGATTACTGAGCAAGCAGAAAATTCTAATACTTCTCCCACTTAGAGTTGCTACATTCTAACACTTTGTGGTTGTAGGTTTTCATTCCCTATTTTCTTAAAATAAGGTAATTTTTCCTTTAAGTAAAATACATTAATGGAGGTTTATCCAAGATTAGTTTGGATAACCCAGGATCAAGTCCTTATATAGGCCCCAAGAGCTATATAAACCCTCCCGGCCTTCCCCTCCCCCTATCCCCTCACCACACACAACAACACCATGTAGACTCTGGAGTCTTGTGAAATGTTCCAGACAACCTCCTTGAGTTATAGTGGGCAAAATTTCACATCAGCTTTTTAATCGAGTAAAAAACACTCATTTCCTCTGTCATTAAATATAATCTGGATTATCTGTTTCCCATGTAGGTGCTTTATTTAGTTATGAAGACTATTTTGGGAGAATTAATTTTTCTCACATTTAAACATATTTCCTTGTTAGCGATACAACACAAACAGCTACCCAGTTCCCTGTGTCATGTAACTACTTCTGAATGTTTGGCTTATTGTACCGAGAGTGATTAATGTGTTTAAATCTCTTCCCTAAAGCTGCCAGGATGGGATTCTAAGGATACATCAGACCTAGATGGTCTTGACCAGTCTGAACAGTAAGTAAATCCGTAATTAGATACTAAATGAAGGTAGGATCGTTGTTCTGAAAGTATTTATACTCGGTGATGAGAGGCAGTTATAATAAGACAGTTTCCTTAAAAATAGTCCAATCAAAGTATTATTCAAAGCTACTCTCATGTTTGGCAAATAGAATTAAGAATACCTGTATATCCAGAAACATCTGTTATTGTTGTTGTTGGGGTGCGGTTGAGTCGGTTCCAACTCATAGACACCTTACACACAGCAGAAGGAAACACTGCCCAATCCTGTGACATCTTCACAATTATGGTTATGCCTGAGCCATTGTTGCTGCACTTTGCCAACCCATCTCGTTGAAGGGCTTCCTCTTTTTCACTGACCTTCCAACATCTAAGAGAGGCAATATGCACAGTGGTTAGAGAATAGCATTAGATTTAGCCCGAATATCCAGTCCTAACTCTTTTCATCTTATAAAGTCTTAAAAGTTTTACATCTTAGTTTCTTTATCTGTGAACACTGCTCACCTCATAGTATGATGGTTAAATTGGAAGATGCATAGTAAACATTTGATAAATGTCATCTTAAAGATGGGCTCATTTACTATAATTTTTTAAATATCAAAGTAATATATTCTTAAAATAAATCAAAGACACACATAAAAAACCCTAACAACTATGCTCATTTCCCTCCAACTCCAGTTATGGAGTTCCGTTGTAAACACTTAACAATTTGACTTGTATTTAACTTCCTAAATATTTCACTTCTTATTTTTAGGATTAGAGATTACTAAAACATTTTTAGAGGAGTTGTGGAAAAAACTGTCCTATTTGAGCACTACTGTAGTCCATGATTGCCTCTTTGGACAGGGATTTAGTCTTCAAACTGGAACTTTAAAAATTCTTATGTTAATACCTGGGCTGATCTTTGACTAAAACAGCATCCTTGTAGCCTCCTAGAGTGTTGTTTCCAATGGGTTAGAGCACCATTTTGTGCTAAGTAATCCACCAGATGTCTTGCTAAGAGCTCCCCTCCACTATGTGTGTAGCTGTGGTTCTAGTGTCTGATGGATATGACTATGCTGGAACAGTTATGTCTGTTAAGAATGTTTGATTGCATGTAACAGACAATCTAGCAGTAGTTTAAACACATAGGGTTTCATTTTACTTAAGTGACAAAAAGTCTTCTGACACACAGATCAATAATAACATCCATGTCTTATGTTCTGTCTTTTGCTTTATCATCCATAATACAATAGCATCCTTCCTCTTGATTGGAAGATGCTTGCTAAAGCTTGAGAACCAGCCCGTGTTAAAGTCCGACAGGAAGAAGGAAGGTGGTGTCAGATACATTTTTCTCCATTTTATGAGAAAAGCAAATGCTTATCCATGAGTCTTTGTGAGAGACTTCTGCTTATGTATTATGCTTGGACCAGAACAGGCTACTCCTGCCTGCAAAGGAGCTGGGAAACAAGTATTATACTTGTTTTACAACCACTGCAGAGGCAAATAGGAAAGGACACTGGTGTAACATTTTATATACTCTGCCACAGGATGAATTGGTATGTGACTACTGTTTGTTCTGTTATCTTCTCATTTGGTGATTACCTGAAGACATGTAATGAGGATGACATATCAGACAAGGAACTCATTTCTAAAATATATAGGAAACTACAACACCTCTACAAGAAAAAGACAAATAAACCAATTAAAAAATGGACACAGGACATGAACAGACACTTCACCAAGGAGGAGGTCCAGGCAGCCAACAAACATGAAGAAATGTTCACGATCACTAGCCATCAGAGAGATGCAAATCCAAACAACAATGAGTTATCATCTCAGAACAGCAAAGATAAAAAAAAAGTAGAGGACAATAAATGCTATCGAGGATGTGGAGAGACTGGGCCACTCCTACATTACTGGTGAGATTGCAAAATGGTCCAACCACTCTGGAAAGCAATATGGTGCTTCTTAAGAAGGTTGGAAATATAAATACCTTATGGTCCAGTAATTCCCGTACTTGGTATTTACCCACAAGGAATACGAGTCATAAGACAAGTAGATATATGCACATCAATGTTCATAGCAGCACTATTTACAATAGCAAAAAGATGGAGACAGCCTAAGTGTCCATCAACTGAAGAATGGATAAACAAACTGTGGTACATACACACAGTGGAATATTATGGTACCTTGAAGAACAACAATGAATCTGTAAGCTATCACATAACATGGATGAACTTTGA